TTTTTTTTTATTGTGGCTTGGACTGGAGTGTGAATGTTAGGGCCTCTTGCTTGCTAAGCTCTTGAGCCACGCTCCAGCCTGGCTTTTTACTGGTATTTGGGGGCCGTCGTATGGGCTTTTCTGCCCAGGCTGGCCTTGAGCTGCACACCCTCCAGATCCTCCAGGAGGATGGAGACCCTTCCGCTCCCACTGGTAGTATGGTGTGAACCCCTGGTGCCTGACTCTTATAAAGTGATGTCTTATCTATAGCAACAATAAATTAAAACTGAGTATTCTAAATGCCATATGCATACAAAAGAGGTATCTACAGCTGGATACCATGACTCATGCTTGTAATCCTAGCTGTTTTGGAGGCTGAGATCTTTTTTTTTTTTTTGGGGTCCGGTTGTGGGGCCTGAACTAGGGTCTGAGTGCTGTCCCTCAGCTCTTCAGCTCAAGGCTAGCACTCTACCACTTGAGCCACAGTGCCACTTCCGGCTTTTTTCTTTTTGCTTATGTGGTGCTGAGGAATCGAACCCAGGGCCTCATGCATGCAAAGCAAACACTCAACCACTGAGCCACCTTCCCAGCCCCTTGGAGGTTGAAATCTGAGGACTGAAGTCTGAAGCCAAACAAGACAGGCAAAGTTGAGAGGCTCTTCTCTGTAATAAATCTGCAAAAAGCTAGAAGTGAGGTATGGCCCAAGTGGTAGAGCCTCCGCCTTGAATGAAAAAGCCGAACGAGTGAAAGGCCACCGGGCGCCGGTGGCTCACACCTGTCATCCTAGCTACTCAGGGGGCTGAGGTCTGAGGATCGCAGTTCAAAGCCAGCCTGGGCTGGGAAGTATGAGAGACTCTTATCTCCAATGAACCACCAGAAAACTGGAAGTGGTGCTGTGGCTCAAGTGGTAGAGCGCTCGCCTTGAGCTGAAGGGCCCAGAGTTCAAGCCCCACAACTGACAAAAAGAAAAGGAAAAAAATAAAATGAGGAGACAGCCCCTACCTGGAAACACTAGCAACCACATACACTCTGACGCTGGCCTGATGAAAAGCAAGCTAGCTAGCAGGGAATCAGGGCTTGAAGGCGCTGACTCCTGCACGGACCGCAGAGGCTAGCATGGGGAGAGCTGGCGGCCTCCTGTGGTGAGCACCCAGCCCAGGCCGAGCTCACACGAGTACACAGCTGTGAGAGTTTCCTCCGAGCGTGTCCCCGAGGGTGCTGGCCTCAGGGAACGGACACATGCCATGGTCTCCACATTGCTCCTGAGGAACGGCGTCAAAGCCGAGTTAGGGTTTTTCTAATGTGTCATTCCACTGGCGTAGGCCTGGCTAGCTCCTTTCATAATCAACATGAAAGCTGCGTGCATCAGTGTCACCACTGTCTCAGGCCAAGGAGGGCCTGAGAGAAGGGACAAGGGACACAGGCCCCGTCAGGGTCCCATGCATGCTAAATGGTGGGAGATCGTTGAAACAAAAACCTCTCAAAACTATGAAACATACTAAAGAGAACAAGTTCAGGCTGGAAGCATGGCTCAGAGGTACTGTGCTCATCCGGTGGGGGAGGTTCAATCCTCAACACTGCAAAGGGAATTTGAATACTAGAACGGGTTCTAGAACGAGAGAGAGTGAAGCATCCAAAGGAAGAACTCCGGGGGCTGGGAAGGTGGCTCAGTGGTAGAGTGCTTGCCTAGCATTCATGAGGCCCTGGGTT